AACAAACAAGGGCTAGTTTTTCCTCTTCGAAGCGAAGAATATAATATATCCCCCGAAGGCTAAAGATGGCCATTAGGGTAGGTTTTGGTCCCTAAACCACGATGCACACAAGTTTCAAAAGACACTACGGAGCAAGAAGTAAAAATGCGTACAAACACACACAGAGACACCAGGAAATAGTAGTTGGTAGAGGTCACCTTGCTTCAGTTTTAGGTTCTTCTTTATTATTATTATTATTATTATTATTATTATTTGAAACACAAAATGATTCCACAGCAGACAAGATCACTCTGCCGGCTGTTGTATTGGATCACACATCGGACACTTCCCAAGTGTCTAGGACTTTGTGATGTATCGGCGAATAATGCGTGCAGATCCCAATAAAGTGGCCTTCTGCAGCTGACAGATGGTAATTTTGTCAGCGCCGATTGTGTTTAAGTGCAGGCCAAGGTCTTTAGGCAATGCACCCAGTGTGCTGATCACCACTGGGACCACCTTGACTGGCTTGTGCCAGAGTCTTTGCAGTTCGATCTTTAAATCATCATATCGCGCCAGCTTTTCCAGTTGTTTCTCATCAATCCTGCTCTCACCTGGGATTGCCACATCGACAATCCATGTTTTTTAACACAATCGTGAGGTCAGGAGTATTGTGCACCAAAACTCTGTCTATCTGAATATGGATGGTATTAAACGGTTGTGTTGTTAAAGTGTGAAGTATTGAACCCTGCACAGATGGTTGGTCAATGCGATTTAAGCAATGTACAGTCACTGAATTCTTGACAGCAGAAGGTGTCACCTCAACATCTTTAAACTTACTCATCCAATGATACACAGTACTCACATCAACACAATCACCATAAACAGCTTGCATTCTCTGATGAATCTCCTTTGGGGTGACACCTTCTCACTGTCAAGAATTCAATGACTGCATGTTGCTTAAGTCTCATTGACTGACCGTCTGCGCAGGGTTCCATACTTCGCACTTTTACAACACAACCGTTCAATGCTCAGGCTTTCTGCCAAAATGGAACTGTAGAGGAGAGTTGACTGAACAAGCCAGTACCTGCCACATACCAGTACTGCCATCTGTTGAGGAGTTACGGAGGTGGAGACATTACTTTTCATTCAACCCTCGTAGTTTAGGGCTTTATAGGAGATGACCAGCACTTTGTATTTAGCCTGAAAGTGGACCGGCAGACAGTGGAGCTGTCGCAGCATGGGAGTCGTCCTCTCACGATATGGTGCTCCAGTTAGCAATCTAGCCACCGATCTCTGCACTAATTGCAGCTTCCAAACTATTTTCAAAGGCAGCCCCACATAGAGAGCATTGCAGTAGTCCAAACTGGATGCGACTAAGGTGTGGACTGCCATTGCCATTGTACTAGCAAAACATACTGTATCATAGAAGCATCATGTCCTTTTCTCATGGACTCTTGTCTCTTATCTCTGACAGCTCTACTTTGCCCTGAGAACAGTCAGTACAAGCTCTGTGGACCGCCATGCCCAGCTACTTGCAATGATCGAGCTGGTAAGAAGAACTGCTCCTCAATGCCTTGTGTGGAGACCTGTGAGTGCAATGCAGGCTTTGTATTGGAAGATGCATCCACAAGTCTGCAACCTCCTCTCTCCTGGTGAGCAATTCTGGGCAGACAGCACATGTACAAGACACTGCCCCTGTGATCCGCAGACTAAGCAAGTGAAATGCCAACAAGGAGGTTGAAAGACTGGGGAGCAATGCAGGGTAGAAGGGGGCATTCAGAATTGAGGATGGGAAGATCAGACTTTACCAGAGTGGTTCAAATGCAGTTCTTGAGACAGATTTTGGACTCCAAGTTACATATGACTGGAACTGGCATCTGGTAATCACTCTTCCCAGCAGTTATTACGGAGCCATGTGTGGGCTCTGCGGAAACTTCAATCAAAACCCAGGAGATGACATGACCTTTCTCAACGGGACCAAGGCTCCCTCCATTGTAAGCTGGGCCAGCAGCTGGAAAGTGAGGGACCGGGACCCTTTCTGTGGGGATTACTGTCAAAGTAATTGCCCAACATGTGATGACAGCAAGAGAGACTTGTATGGTGATGAAGGCTATTGTGGACTGATCAGCAAAACTTCAGAAAGGCCCTTCAGAGAATGCCACTCCATAGTCAATCCAGATGACTTCTTTGATAGCTGCATTTATGATGTGTGCCTAAATGGAGGAGCCCAGAACATCCTCTGCCAGGCCTTGGAGGCCTATGCTGAGACCTGCAGAAAAGCAGGTGCCACCATATATGATTGGAGGACACCCTCTGGATGTGGTGAGTGTTCTTTCTCCATGTAGACCAGTGGTTCCCAACCTGTGTGGTAACTTTGAAGACTTATAATGTAACCATTGTCCTGAGCCAGGAGCATCCACGCAAGATTCAGGTATTGACAAGAGGAAAATGAGTGGATATATATGGAAGTTTTTGTATCAAGTGAGGGGAGGGGTTGGGGATACCTGTGGTTATTGATACATCGTTCCTCCATTCTGATGGCAAGCAGACCCAAGTTCATGAACTTCCTACACTGAAAGGAATGAATTTTGTAGGATGGGAAGAATTTACCTGTGTACAGTGTTCTTTGATATACCAAGGGGCTTGTCTATTCCAGTTAAAAAAACAAAAAACCCCATAGTGGCTCAGAAATCACTACTGAATATCTAAATGACATCCACAGACTTACGGACCTTAATGCAGGGTAAACCATATTGACCAGTTTAGCTCCTTACTTAGGAAAGTAAGGGAATGCTGTGGAGTTTCAATGAAATTTAGCCACACAAGGCCATCTCCTTTTCCCTGGATGTATCAACACAAGGAAAGGGGGATGGACTGGGTCCATGTCACCATAGGCACTGCCAAACAATTGCAGGGCTCCTGGCCATTATGGGCACTGTGATCCACCCCCTGTCCCTTCCCTGCGGTGACTAGGAGCTCTCCAGAACTTCAGAGGGTGTCCAGCATTGACAACAATGACCGGGAAGGTAAAGTGACAGTCCGGCTAGGTCAAAGTCCAGCTAGGTTTTGGCACAGCTGGACTATGTTGACTTCACTGCACCAGTGCTACAAGTCGGGCACGAAGCATGTAAACACCCCTGAGGCCTCCAAACACTGTCCAGAGCATTTTTCCAGGTTTAGAGCAGTGGTTCTCAACCTTCTGAATGCCACGACCCCTTAATAGAGTTCCTCAGGTTGTGTTGACCCCCAACCATAACATTATTTTCGTTACTACTTCATAACTGTGATTTTGCTACTGTTCTGAATCGTAATGTCAGTATCTGATATGCAGGATGGATTATCAATTCACTGGACCAAATTTGGCACAAATACTCGATACATCCAAATTTGAATACTGGTGGGTTGGTGGGGGGATGATCTTGTCATTTGGGAATTGTAGTTGCTGGGATTTATAGTTCGCCTACAATCAAAGAGCATTTTGAACCCCACCAATGACAGAATTGGTCCAGACTTGGCAGACAGAACTTCCACGACCAATAGAATATACTGGAAGGTTTTGGAGGGCATTGACCTTGAGTTTTGGAGTTGTACTTCACCTACATCCAGAGAGGACTGTAGACTCAAACAATGATGGATTTGGATCAAACTTGGCTCAAATACTCAATATGCCCAAATGTGAACATTGATGGAGTTTGGGTGAAATAGACCTTGACATTAGGGAGCTGTAGTTGCTGGGATTTATAGTTCACGTACAATCAAAGAGCATTCTGAACCCCACCAATGATAGAATTGTGTCAAACTTCCCACACAGAACCCCCATGACCAACAGATACTGTGTTTTCCGATGGTTTTGGGCAACCCTCCTGACACCCCTCTCACAAACCTCCCCCCCCCCACCCACCCAGGGTCCCAACCCCAAGGTTGAGAAACGCTGGCCTGGAGTCCTGAAATAATGCGCCCATGTAGATAATCTCCTAGTCTTACATGCAAGCTTTTACACCATGTTTCTTGGATACTGTTAAATAGAAGAGAATAACTTTATTATCATTGTACATGGTACAACAAGATTCAATGCTTTCCCCAGCACATCACAAAAACTACACTCCAACCACCACTGCACAGCCCCCAACACCACATCAGTGTGAAACCATGGAGTTCAACATAGTGACAGCTCTTGGATAAAAGCTATCTCTCAGTCAGTTTGTCCTTATTTTTGTCATCCTGTACTGTCTGCAAGATGGTAATAACTTAAAAAAAAAAAAGGATTATGCCGGGTGAGATGGGTCCTTAAGAACGTCCTGAGGTTATAATGTTCTTTCAAAAAGGAGAGAGGGCAACCAATGATTCTCTGGGCAGTAATTGTAACCCTTTGGAGTTCTTTCCTATCCACCACTGTGCAGTTACCAAAACATGTGCAGATGCAGCAAGCTAGGACAAATTCTATAGCACAGGGGTAGAAAGTCATTCAGTTGCTGGTTCCTTAAAAGTCTTTCAAAGGCATAATAGAATAAAAAAAAATCAAGTAGCCATCAATTTGTACCATCTATTTTACTAACTGCATTTGAAACCACAGATTTACAGATTGTATAGTCCATGATGTCATGTCTGATATGTTCATATTAGCAAAGCATCTCAAAGATGCATCTGCTGGATCCCACTAATTGACTTTTGATAGACGGGCTTATGATTTCCAGGGGACTTGCACCTATATTTTAACTGAAGTTCATGCAAGAGATTCTAAGTTGGCAAACTTCTCTGTTCTGGTGGAGAATGAAAGGTCCTTGACCAAGAAGGTTGTGGTCCTTTTTCATGAATACATTGCTATTATTGAGAAAGCAATGAAGTGGAACATCAAGGTAAGTCTTCACGTGAAAAAGAAACATTGGCAACATTAACCCAATGTTCTTAGAATGATTTTAGAGAGACCTCCATCTTTATTTCTTCAAACCTCATGAGCCAGGATTGCCAAATTGCAGTGGCTAACTTGGAATCTTGAGGCATTGACCCTTTCTCTAGTCCTTAGTGCAAGGAAGAGAAATATCTGGGAGATAGCCCTCCCGTGGAAAATGTATTAATATATATTTCCCTTATTTGTTGGTGCTTTTGATTTGAACACTACATGCAATTTGTGTTGATGCTTAAGCAGTGCGGCAGCTGCTACCATATCTCGAAAAGTCTGACTGGGCCATGGTGGTCCATGCCTTAGTTGCATCCAGAATGGACTACTGTAATCCACTCTATGTGGTGCTGCCTTTGAAGACAGTTCAGAAACTGCAGTTAGTGCAAAGGATGGCTGCCAGATTACCAACTGGAGCTAGCTATAGGGAACATATTATGTCCTTCGTGAAGCAGTTCCACTGGCCTCTGACAATTTTCCAGGCTCAATTCGAGGATCAGGACCCAAAGCCCGATACGCTTTGTGTCCAAACCATCTTCAAGACTGCATGTCTTTCTATGAAATGATGTGGGCTTTGAGATCGGCAGGGGAGGCCCTTCTCTCAGTCCCACCACTGTCTCAAGTGTGGTTGGTGGGGATGAGAGAGGGCCTTCTCTGTAGTGGCTCCCTGGCTCTGGAATACCCTCTTAAAAGAGATTAGATTAGCCCTCACCCTTGAATCTTTCTGGTCCAGCCTAAAAACATGGATTTTTAAGCAGACTTTTGGCCTCAAGAAGGCTGAAATGGGCCCATATGAAGTTGACACTCTGACACTTTAGTATTAATTGATGGCAACTAGTTTTAACTACTGATGGCTCTGCATTTGAAATTGTGTTATTTTATGTGCTGATAGTGGTTGTTTTTATAATTTTTATGCCATGTTGTTCTATATCCATGTGCCATTTATGTTATATACTGCACTGTAGTGTCTTGTAAGCCGTCCAGAGTCCCTTTTGGGAGATGGTGGTGGGATATATTTATTTATTTATTTACTGTATTTGTATACAATGTTCCCTCGCTACTTCACGGTTCGCTTTTAGCGGACCCGCTGTTTTGTGGGTTTTTGAAAATAGTAATAAAATATTAAATATTAAATATTGACATCCAGTGGAGGCCAGGGACGCCGAAAGTGCAGTGGCCTGAAGTGTGGCGGGGAAGGCCTGTCTCCCTGGCCTACTGCTGCCTGTGTAGCTCCGAAGGCTCTGCGGAGGCCAGGGAGGCATCCTTGGGATGGGCCAGGACGCGGGTAAGGAAACACGGATACGAAAATAATATATAAAATATATAAAATAATGTATAAATATTAAAATTTAAATGGAGTTCCTACTTCACAGATTTTCACTTATTGCAGGTGGTCTTGGAAGGGAGTACTACAAGTACTACAAGAAGGGAGTACTACAAGTAGTACAAGAAGGGAGTACTACAAGTACTACAAGAAGGGAGTACTACAAGTACTGCAAGTACTACAAGAAGGGAGTACTACAAGTACTACAAGAAGGGAGTACTACAAGTACTACAAGAAGGGAGTACTACAAGTACTACAAGAAGGGAGTACTACAAGTACTACAAGAAGGGAGTACTACAAGTACGACAAGTACTACAAGAAGGGAGTACTACAAGTACTGCAAGAAGGGAGTACTACAAGTACTACAAGAAGGGAGTACTACAAGTACTACAAGAAGGGAGTACTACAAGTATTACAAGAAGGGAGTACTACAAGTACTACAAGAAGGGAGAGGAGTTCTATCCCACTTCAGACTGCCAGAAGCACTGCCGCTGCAGTGACAACGGAGTTGTTGAATGCCAAGATATTTCTTGTGACGCACATGAGGAATGCAAAGTGGAGAATGGCATCCAAGGTTGCCATTCTGTGGGTTACGGCAAATGCAGTGTGACTGCTGGTGTAAAGAATGAATGTTCAGAATGCATGTAGAAGGACCAAAGAAACAGGCCTGAAGAGACAGAACCAACATGGACTAGCAAGGCCCTGGCAGCCTAAGTGAGGAGGCAGCAAGGCCTGATACGGAATGGAGCTGGCAGCCTCAGCGAGGAGGCAGCAAGGCATACCTGAATGACAGTGAATAATGAGGTATGCGATCAAGTGCGTAAGGAGGATAAGGAGTGTGCATAAGGTACCCCATAACTCATAAGATCTGGAATGTGTATATCTTGAACTTTGGAAAGGACAAGAACTTGGAAGAGCTCAAAAAGGTCAGAACAACCTGATTACGAAAAAGAAAATGGATTTTGGCCTATAAATGCAGGGGGTCCCCAACAACAGACGCACTTCCTGAACTGCAGCAACGGGTGTCCACGTTTCCTCGGAAAAGACTGATCATCTTCGCCGGAGGAGGCCTGGTGTGCGTGAGTATGCGTGAATGTGTGT